CACGAACCTGTGTCCGCTGCATCGGCAGGCGGACTCTCAACCACTGCGCCACCAGGGAAGCCCTAAGCCATTCTTAATTTATGCATAGGGTTTTTTTGCCACAGGGTGGAAAAACGGTGGAGGAGGGAACAAGAGTATAGGGTGCAATGACCTAAATGACTTAAGATGTCATTTGTTTAGACCAATTTTTTTGTTAAGTTGAGAGCTACTTATAAATCAGTCTAAAAGTCTAGATAGATTCTTGAGTTGGAAGGCTCTGGACACCTTAAGGAAAAGTTAAGTAAGTAACAGGCATGCTGAATTCCAGGTTTACTCACTCAGCTGCGTCTTTCTTCTCCTCTTTATCATCTTTCTCTTGTTTACATCCTGGACTGGAAGTCTGAACCCCTTGGGATGTGACCTCAGGTCCCCTCTTGTGCTCTGTGTTACTGAGGATCGAAGGGGAAATGCTGGGACTGCTCGGCTTGCTGCTGCCACTGGTGCAGTTGCTGCTATTTTCAATGAAAGAATCCTTAGCATTTGGTTCAATTTTGTCTTTGATCAAATCTCTTGATTTTTCTCCCTCTCTATTTTTGTTTAGCAGCTGATCCATAGATTCAGAAGTAGAACTTGGCTGTAACTAAATAAAGGAAATAATTATACTTAAATATTTTAAATAACTCTAGTAATCAATTTTTTTCCACGAGCACAAACTGAATAAGGCTTTTTTCGAACTTTACGAGTAATGTTTTCATTATAAGGCAACAATATGTCTATACAACACAACTACAGCCATCCAAGCACTAAAATGTCCTAGCCTGAAAAGTTAAATATTTACTGAGTGCATACCATGTGTCAGAAATTGTGTGTGCTAGGAATGGAAATATGAAATAGTTCCTATCCTCCCAAAGCTTTCCATCTGGATGAGATCAGACACTTGACAAACTGGGGTAAATGCTATAGGATCCCACGGGAAAATGCAACTCATGGAAAGAGAAGGCTTCTCAATGGAAATGTCATCTAGTCTAAAGTGTGAAAGATGTTGGGGGTTTGCGGGGGAGTCTGGAAAAGGGACTAATAGTCTAAGTACAAGAAACAGCATGTTTAAAGACCCATAGGAAAGGGAGAAGATGGCCCCGCTGTGGAACAGCAAAGTACTGGTGGGCACAAGACGAGTCAAGAAATGATAAATTCACCCAGGAGGAATGAGATGATAAAGGAACTTGAAAGCTATGTTAAGAACTCTAACTTTTAGTTCTCAGGATAATGAAAAGTCACTGAAGAATTTTAAGCAAGTACAGACTGAGAAGATTTATAGTTCACAAAGATGAGCACAGCAGCTTTGTGGAAAATGAACTGCAGTAAGCCAAGTAAGAGTGTAGAGAGACCATTATGGCAGCTGGACTAAGACCTGGGGCCTGACCTTGATAAGTGATGGGGTTTTTAAGTTTGCAGACCAGAAGCAGTCAATGTTACTACTGTCTGATGATGATTTAAGATGCCCTACTCCACAGAAGAAAGAAAACAGGAATAGCTGAAGGAAATGACAAGAAAAAGAGAAGAAAAGGGCAGCAAGTAGAAGGAGCCATGGTGGAAATGAGAATAAATCCAAGCAGCAGCCCTAGGCAGTGAGAATAAGCTAAAGAGCAATTGTGCAGCAGAAGGGGCTGCAAGACTAGAGAGACAAACTACCTCCTCAGCCTCAGGAAAGGCGGACCACTGTCAAATTCTCACTACCGGAGCCCTTGGTATCCTGGCAAGCAGCACCACACATCTCAGGGGCCTCTCAAGCTTCACTGCATCACTAATATAGTTATAAAGTCTCCAAGTAGTTGACGGCAGAAGGTGAAAGCAACATTTGGACACAGTGGGAGTTTAAGTCACAATATAGGTACTTACTGTTTAGTAGAGGCTATATGCATAACGGACCAATTGTGTATTGCATAAAACTTTAAATATTTGTCACAAGGATATTTGAGTGAGGCAAAAATAAGGCTTTTGATGCTGTCATTCATATAATGGCAAACATACCTATAGTACTCACTATGGGTTGGACACTGTTCTAAACTATTTACAAACTCATTTATTCAGTCATTATAACAGCCCTATTTGATGTACATACTATTAGCGCAATCTTATAAATGGGGAAAATAAGGCACAATTCATGCTTTTGAACATTCTTCCGTATTTCCTATCTGCAATATACTAAACATAAAAGAAAACTGAGATTATTCTCTCTTTTTTTTTTTTTTGGCGGTATGCAGGCCTCTCACTGTTGTGGCCTCTCCCATTGCGAAGCACAGGCTCCGGATGCACAGGGTCAGTGGCCATGGCTCATGGGCCCAGCCGCTCCGCGGCATGTGGGATCTTCCCGGACCGGGGCATGAACCCGTGTCCCCTGCATCAGCAGGCAGACTCTCAACCACTGTGCCACCAGGGAAGCCCCTCCTTTTTATTTTTTCAAAATTGAACCACTGTTTCCTTTTATTGAGAAATAATTCACATGTAACATCGTATTAGTTCCAGGTGTACAACATTGTGATTCAATATATGTATGTACTGCAAAATGATCAAAATGTCTAGTTAACAGCCATTACAACACAGTTAAAAATTTTTTTCTTATGGTGGGAACTATGTAGACCTACTCTCTTAGCAACTTTCAAATATACCATACAGTATTACTGACTACAGTCACCATGCTGTACATTACTTCCCCATGACTTATTTAAAACTTGGAAATTTGTGCCTTTTGACCACCTTCACTCATTTTGCTGCACCCACTGCCTCTGGCAACCACCAATCAGTACTGATGAGTCTGGGTTTTGTTTTGTTTTCTTTTTTTTTAAGATTCCACAAATAAGTGAGATCATACAATATTTGAACTTCTCTGACTTATTTCACTTAGCATAATGCCCTCAAGGGCCATCCATGTTGTCAGAAATGGCAATTACTCTTTTTTATGGGTGAAGAGTAATTCCATTGTGTGTGTGCATATACATGCAGATATCTTGCGAGTTAGTGTTTTCGCTTCCTTTGGATAAATACCCAGAAGTGGAACTGCTGGATCACATGGTAGTTCTATTTTTAATTTTTTGAGGAACCTTCATACTGTTTTCCATAGTGGCTGCACCAATTTACCCACCAATAGTGCACAGAGGTTCCCTTTTCTCCACATCCTGGCCAGGACTTGTTATTTCTTGTTTTGTATTTTTGAGAATAGCCACTCTAATAGGTGTGAGATACCTCATTGTGGTTTAGTTTTTCTAAAATATTTGTTTATTTATTTATTTATTTGGCTGCATCAGGTCTTAATTGTGACACATGGGCTCTTTGTTATAGCGGGCAGGCTTCTCTCTATTTGTGGTGCACAGGCTTCGTTGCCCCGCAGCATATGGGATCTCAGTTCCCTGACCAGGGATTAAACCCACATCTCCTGCATTGGAAGGCAGATTCTTAACCACTGGACCACCAGCGAAGTCCCCTCATTGTGGTTTTGATGTACGTTTCCTTAATAATTACATTTCCTTAATAATTAGTGAGGACCTTTTCATGGACCTGTCGGCCATCTTTACATCTTCCTTGGAAAAAATGTCTATTTAGATCCTGTGCTCATTTTAAAATCAGATTGTATTTTTGCTATTTAACTTGTATGAGTTCTGTATACATTTTGGATATTAACTCATAAGATATATGACTTACAAATACATTCCCCATTTGGTAGTTCCCTTTAACTTTGTTGATGGCTTCCTTTGCTGTGCAGAAGACTTTTAATCTGATGTAGTCCCAGCTGTTTAGTTTTGCTTTTGTTGCCTTTGTTTCTATTGTCAAATAAGAAAATCACTGCTAAGGCCAACATCAAGGAGCTCGTGCCTATGTTTTCTTCTAGAAATTTTATGGTTTCAGATCCTACTGTCACATCTTTAATCCATTTTGAGTTGATTTTTGTGTATGGTATAAGGCAGTGGTGCAGGACTTCCCTGGTGGCACAGTGGTTAAAAATCTGTCTGCCAGTGCAGGGGACATGGGTTCAAGCCCTGGCCCTGGAAGATCCCACATGCCACGGAGCAACTAAACCCATGCACCACAACTACTGAGCCTGTGCTCTAGAGCCCGTGAGCCACAACTATTGAAACCCGCATGCCTAGAGCCCGTGCTCCGCAACAAGAGAAGCCACCGCAATAAGAAGCCCACGCACCACAACAAGAGTAGCCCCCGCTCGCCCCAACTAGAAAAAGGCTGCTCACAGCAACAAAGATCAAACACAGTCAAAAAATAAATAATTAAAAAAAAAAAAGAGACAGTGGTGCAGTTTCATTCTTTTGAATGTGGCCGTTCAGTTTTCCCAACACCACTTATTAAAGAGACTGTCCTTTCCCCATAGTATATTCTTGGCTCTTCTGTCATAAATTAATTGACTGTATATGCATGAGTTTATTTCTGGGCTCTTTGTTGTTTCATTGATCTGTTTCTGTTTTTATGCCAATACCATACTGTTTAGATTACTATCTCTTTGTAATACAGTTTGAAATCAGAGCGCGTGATACCTCCAGTTTTGTTCTTTCTCAAGACTGCTTTGGCTATTCAGGTCTTTTATGGTTCCATATAAAATTTTAGGATCGTTTGCATTATTTCTGTGAAAAAATCCATTGGGCCTTCCCTGGTGGCGCAGTGGTTGAGAGTCCGCCCGCCGATGCAGGGGATGCGGGTTCGTGCCCCGGTCTGGGAGGATCCCACATGCTGTGGAGTGGCTGGGCCCATGAGCCATGGCTGCTGGGCCTGTGCGTCCGGAGCCTGTGCTCTGCAACGGGAGAGGCCGCAGCAGTGAGAGGCCCACGTACCGCAA